CGCGGAGCGGCTGGGCCCGTGAGCCATGGCCGCTGAGCCTGCGTGTCCGGAGCCTGTGCTCCGCTACGGGAGAGGCCACAACAGTGAGAGGCCCGCATACCGCAAAAAAAAAAAAAAAAAAAAAAATCTGAGAAAAATACAATTTTAGAGTTAGATCTTAGATGACACAGAAGAAAACTGCTTTTCACCTGCTGATAGTTCCTTTTAAAAATAATCAGCATTAAGGTAATAATCATGGCTAAAAATATATTTTAAATTGTTTAGCCACCATCTTTTGAAATGCAGCAAGAGTAAAAAGAACAGAATGTAAACAAGAAATTAAATTCAAAGAAAAATATCTCCAATTGCCCTTCCACATGCATCACTTACAGACTTTCTTGGTCACATCATACTTGTCACCAGCAGTAAATCTGTAGATATTTTTGACTTTTGTTGTTGTTGTTAATTTCACAAGCGTTTCCAGGTATGTGAGAAGAGCAGAGGTCAAGAGGCTCATGTGAAACTGGATTGTAATTGACTAGGTGGCTCCCTTCTGCACCTGACCTTACTTTAATCGATTGAAACTAGACCTCAAAAAACAATTTTTTATTAGAAAAAAAAGAATAGAATGTGAAAAACGTTGCCGCAATAGAGTAAAATGAAGGAATTTTAGTTTCTCTGGAGGAAGACTAATATTTGTTCACTAGTTAATTAATTATATACTAGACTATAATTTGCCATTAAGTTGCCTATTTCCATTCCACTGTCACTTGAAAGTGGAATGAAATGAAATCACTTGAAAGAAATGATAAAGTTAGCTAAAGGGACTTGGGATGAAATCAGTATTTCCCACTGTCACTGAGATTAATACTATGAAGATTTTTCAAAATTATGTTTGAGGTATAACATGCATACAGCAAGCAAATGATTTTGTACATGCAACCACCATCCAGATCAAGGTCTAGGTCATTTCCAAGAAAACCTGCTTGTGCTCCTTCCCAGTCAATACCATCCTCTCCATCCATGCCCACAAATAACCACTGTTTTGACTTCCGTGGCCACTCATTTGTTTTACCTGTTCTTGAACTTCAACTTAGTGCAATTATGCAACATACTCTTTTGTGTCTGTCTTCCTTCACCGAACATTGTGTCTGAGACTCGTCTAAATACACGAGCATTTCAAAGCAAAGCTACCTAGGAACAAAATGAAAAATATGCCATCTATCTCAGCAAGACCTCAGATGGGAGAGTACTTGAACATGATGAGCTTTTTCACAGCTCTTGCTTTCACAAAGGATATCACTTCCATTTTCTTTACCTGGAACACGTAAATAATATCTCCTTCCCCTTACTAGATTTCTGAGAAAGCTCATCTACCTTTCCACCATTTTTTGAGGTTGCCCTGAAGCCATGCTAAATTAGAAGCTCACCTCAGCAAGCTTAATGATGATGAAGCAGTTTATTTTCTGTAAATAATGACAGCTTTATGTTTAGTCTTATTCTGTACATTAGAGCAGGCAGCAGTCTGAGCAATGCGGTTCAGAGAAACACTGAGTATAACATTATCCATTACAGGAACAACTCTGTTTATCACAGGAGTTCTACATTACTCTCTCTATATTAAAGCCCTATATATGAGGACACTGAGACCCAAGAAGGCTGTGTGGCTTTCCGAATAATTAACTAGTGGCAGACACATCGTCTAGGTCATCTGACTCCTGATCAGGGTTTTTTTCCCCATTCTCTCAGGCTATCCTCATTGGAATATGATAGTTAAACTCATGGTGAACCAGCGGCGCCTCCTAGTACCTCTAAAAGAGCAGTAAGACTCTGCAGAGCAAAAAGCAAAGAAGATGTCACACAATTAGGACAGGCAATAAATCTCAGTAAATGTTCTGGGTTTTGACCATCCAGCTGGGATGGTTAACTGTAAAGCCACGAAGAGAACAGAGTCACAGACCCAACTCTGCTACTTAACTGGCCCTGTGACCTTGAGCAAGGACCCCAATATTTCACTGCGGAAATTATAAGACTAAGTTAAATGATCACTAGGCTCAATACGATTGGTATAGTTCTACATCACATTAGGACCTGTTCTAAGTGCTTCATGACCATTGCCTTGTTGTCACCACAACCCTATAAAACAGGTGCTATTAGGATTTCCATTTTATAAGTGAGGAAGTTGAAGTCCAGAGAGACCAAGCAACTTACCCAAGGTCACACAGCTGGTCAGAGGGATTTAAACTCAGGTAGCTTGCCTCCTGAGTATCCCTTGCACAAGATGGGTCAGGAGACTGTGGGTGGGAATTGGGCTATATTTTAAGAGAAGGCGAGACATAAAGCCTAATGAATAATAATTCAATTCTATGCCCAACTGCTTCTTTGGACTAACCCAACGAGATAGGGCAAATACTGTTTTACTCTCCAAAACAATGCCCACTGTCACCACAGTTAACTTCATGCTGGTTGCAGGCAGTGTATCCTCTTCGCTTATATTAACTACAGTCATTTGATTGCACAGAATCCTTATTTCACATAGTATTAATTTTAGAAATTTGATACCATCAGTTTTTTGACTTGTTTTTCTAACAGAGGCAGCCATTATTTTTAAACCCCCAAAGGGAAAAGCTACTAAAGACTTCCATCTGTCTTGCAAACACTGACAGAGAATTTCAGAGTTTAAACTTGTGGACGATAGACCTGCAGAAGGAGCATGTTTGTGCAGCTGTATGACATCCTGGTGCACTGCCATGAACAATATCCCCTAGACTTGCTACAGGATATTTAACAGATTAAATAATGTCACTTGTATTTAGGGTTTGAAGAAACTCTGATTGAATAGGAAAAGGGTCACTTTGCAAATGGAAAATCAATTTTAATATAAACAAAAGCATTTTAAGTTTCATATATCACTGTTATTGCTATAAGCAAAGTGTTCTAGGAAGAGATATGATGGCTGTGTTTAGGAATAGCAAGAAGTGTGCTACAGAGACACAAGAAAGGAACAAACCAATTTCCTACCTTCCTTCCCTTCCTGAGCCAACAACCCTTAGAGTCTGGGGTGGGGAGCAGGTCATGGTATATGGAGGGTGTGCTGTGCTTGTGGAAAGGAAGAAAAAGTTGACACGTCTCCAGTGGACAGATTACCAAGTGAGAGAGAAATGGCACCTCTATGTGAAGATGGTGACCACTCAGTTCATGCTGAGCGTGTACATGGGGATGAAACTTTAGGAGAGAAGCTGGCAGACCTTAGATATAAATTGTAAAATAAAATATAATGAAATTCGGGACTTCCCTGGTGGTCCAGTGGTTAAGGCTCGGCGCTTCCACTGCAGGGGGAGCGGGTTCGATCCCTGGTCCGGGTACTAAGATCTCACATGCTGCATGGTACGGCCAAAAAATAAAAATAAATAAGTAAAATATACGCTAAAGTCAGTAAAAATTTTTTTTTAAATCTAATGAAATTTCATGATTTTGAAGTGAATGGTTACATTCTGCCCCCAACAAAATTACGAAAAATTTCCCATAGAGGATGAATGTAACAGAAGTATTATTAAAATAACACATTAAATCTGGACCAATATCTTTGGGTCAAAAGATCCATGAGAGTCTACATATAACATGACTAACTCTCTTTGCAGTCCCCTGGCAGTCACACCGAGTTCTGTGAAGAGCCTGGGGGCCACACGTAAAACTCTGGACTATCCCCCCAAGGCAGAAATGAAACCTTATACAATGGAACTCAGGACACTAGGAGATACAAGCCATAGGCTCATACAATGGAAGGCAGAAAGCTGGTAGAATTTATGTCAATTAGTCATACAGAGTCCCCAAGGCACTCAGGTTTATATCCCTGTCATTCAGTTAAGAGGTGACTGTAACAACCCAGGCATCTGAACTTGGACAGGAAGAGAGAAAATGGACCGGAAATGATGAATGGCTCCAAGAGATACTGAGGAGGAAGTAAGGAGGCTGAGAAGCTGCCTGGAGAAGGCACAGGCGACTCATGGCCAGAACCTCTCCGAGGACGTGGTGGGATATAAAGAGGAGATGGAGACTTGGAGACAAGATCTATGGCTTGAGCTCAGGCGCTATGAACATTCAGGGGAAGATGTCAGCAGACGATCAGAAATACAGTACTGGCACATTAGCAAGAAATCAGAGTTGAAGTTAAAGAAGTTATTTGGGGTGGTCTTTCAAACCAAAGCGCAGTTAAGTTTACCTCTTAGAGGTTGATTACATTGAGGTAGTAGCCTTTACTCGGAAAGGTAAATCATCTAAGTAAATTGGAACTAAATCCCAATTGTTTTTGTTTTATCCATTCTTTTCAAGCATTACACATGAGAATTTGAATCTCTCAGAATACTAGGAAACCATCTAGAAAACCATGAAACCATATTTTTAACCTGAAACCAAATTCTTTCATAACAATATTAGGGATACTGAGCTCTGTGTTGCTACTTTAGACTTCTGATTCACTAAATCAGAAACTAGGAGAATTACAAGGCCCTTTGCATAGCAGCCCAGGGTCGTGACGGCAAATATCTGACTACATAATGTAACATGCCCAGTTACCAGGAATCATTCTCGAAGACTGGCAACCAGCAAGTTTTTGTTCCAATCCAAACAGAGAGCATCACCTCTCCTATCTCTACTTTCAACTGAGAATCAAATATCTCCTGTTATACCGGTATCCTAAGGGGGGAAAACACACATGGAGAAATGCTTGACATTTATGTTGCTCTGTAAGAAAACTTCCAGAGCAGTAAGAAAATGTTCTGTTAAATTCCAAGAACCTGGGACTTCTTTCGTACTAGGAATCAGCAGGTAAAGGGAGAAGTTTAGTTGATTTGTTTTACGTTCACGAGGTGTGGGGAGATGCTCAAGCACGTTTATGGGCTGAGATGAAAGAGCCTGGAGGGAGGAAGAAAGTGAAGATCCAAGAGAGAAGGGACTAGCCTGTGGGACCTGAATGCCCTCAGGATAACCGCAGGCTTGGGTGGAGCAGCAGAGCCTGAACCTAATGTGGTGCATATGAGGAAGTGACTAGGAAATCAGGAAACGACAGCGGCAAAGAGATGGTAAGAGAAACTCAGCAGGGTGGCACGTATTTCAAATAAGAATCCATACAATACTGGAAGCAAAACAGGCAGGAATGGTGATCGGGAGTGGATCGAAGGTCAACAGCAAGGGGTGAAGGAAAACTGAGCCTCTTCCAACAGGGGAGAGTTGCCAAGGAGAGGCAGGTTTCAGACACAATGAGAAAGAGGAGGAAGGAGAAGTCCACCGAAAGATGAGGATGTGGGAAACTCTGCTTCCTGTGGAATGGAGTCATCCATCCATAATTAATTTCTTGAGTAACTATTATAGACAAGGTAATGCACTGGCGCTATGACAGTGAGCAAAAATGCAATGGATCTCTGCCCTTAAGGAGACTTATGGTCTATGATGGGGGCTGACATTATCCTGGCGACCATCCATTCCAATGTAGAAAAATGGCAGGTACCGAGCGCACAGGCGATGCGGTACCTACAGGCATAGCATGAAATGGTCTCCAAGTTCTGAGTTAAAATTCAGGATAAAACTGTTTGTGCGTTACAGAGTTTTAGTCCAGTTTCATAACATTGCTTAAAAGGTAGAAACACCCGGTCTCAATTAAGCTGGAAACCATTTAAAAGTCACTGAAAAGCAAAGGATGAACATTCCTTAGTTTGTATACCTAATTCTCTAGAGATGGAGATGAGAGAGAGAGAGAGAGAGGCAGAATTCTATTAGTGGTTTTTTTAAAAAATAATTTTACAGTAATGATGCCTTTAGGATTAACTTTAATTTTTTTCCCTCCAATATAGTCACTAAACATGTCCCACTTAACAAAATGTTCTATTTTGGTTTCTTTCTTGAAAATGACATGTGTGTCAAGCAAGCGTTCCAGAGAACGAGTTGTACCAGCAAGACTTGGGTATAACACCACACGGAACGCCTCTGAATCCAATTAGGGCACCATCAAGCCAACCAGCTGATTCCAAAGTTCTTTTCTGATATAATGTTTATTAAGATTTTCAATACTGGCCTGAAGGAATGTTGAATGTGTACTAGAATGATGAAAAAAAGCCCATAGCTGAGATTCAGAAGTAGCTAGTTGCAACTCACCAACTTTTCCAGAAGCCATAAAATTATTTTTAATTGTGATTCTCATTAAGTGAGTAGGGGGAAAAAACTTGCCTCTTCAAGGAGTAAGTGTATGAAGAAAAGGGGATAGTCCTCCCTGCTATGTCAGCAGTCCCATGAGGATAGGGACCAAAGGGGCTTTATTACTGGTGGTGCCCCCCACCCTGTGCATAAGCCACAGAAGGTACTTAATAAATATTTACAGAATGAATAACTAAGTCACGGACAAGTGTTTGGCAATAATTTACAAGGCCTGGCCTATCTAGGCCATGATTTATTTTAGCAGGTCTTTAGATTTTTCACACAGAGGAAACTGTTTCCAACAGTGCCTTCCTGTAGAATTCCAAATATTTTGCAAGATAATATAACAGACACTAAAGTTTGAAATTGAGAAAACATCAAAGCCAGCAGGAAGGAAGATTAACCGTCAGAAGAATGGTACACACATTGTTGACAAACTTTTCAGGTGAACAAACAACTGCTGCTTACTATGTAATTTTAACTCATTTTAAAAGACAACCATCAAAGACAAATCACTGAAAAGAACAGCTGGAATCATTCCGATGTGAAATTATCTTTCAGGAACTTTCTCTTTTCACACAGTGGTGAAATTATTATTATTTTTTTTTAAAGAAGCTACCTATCCACACACACCACGCTGACATCGCCCCTTCTCTGAACACTGAGCACATCAGGCATGTCAGATTTGTCTTCAGTCCTAATAGGGGAAGTCAGAGAGGCAACTCACTTTCATGGTAAAGAAACTAGGAAAGGTAAGCTATCTAACTAAACTGGAACTAAATCCCAATTGTTTTTCTTTTTTCCATTCTTTTCAGGCCTTGCACATGAGAATTTGAATCTCTCAGAAAACTAGGAAACCATCTAGAAAACCATATTTTTAATCTGAAACCAAATTCTTTCATAACAATATTAGGGATACTGAGCTCTGTGTTGCTACTTCAGACTTCTGATTCACTAACTACATCAGAAACTGGGAGAATTACAAGGCCC